CAAATTAAATGTATACATAATTTTATTAAATATTTGTTTAAATTTTATTAATTACTTTGATTGTGTTCCTGTATAGGCTCGCGATTTATTTTTAAGCCACTTATTGTAAAAAGTAAGCCTCTTAGCGTGTCGGTGGAAAGTCTGTTTCTCAGAAGATGTTAATTTTCGTTAGATTGATCGCAGGAAACAGACGCTAAACATTTGTACTGCTATGTGGCAATGTTATAAAATTTTGTACAAATTGGGTCAATAAAGGAAACAATTGAAACGAATCGCCTTTTCTTATTTTTGAAATATTCGAGACGTTTCGTTTGACACACTCACATTAGTCACAGCACAGGTCTATGGAATGCACACTTTGTCTTATTCTGTGGCGAGCTGGCGAAGCCTCTATGCGTTAGTATGAAACGGAATGTTTTTTTGATATTTTTTCTCGAATACTGGAAATGATGCTCTTTCAGCCTAATAAGTCATGTTATTGAGCAAATTTGTAAAATTTGATAAAAATACATAGATTCTGGGACTGAAGTTTGTAGGTTTGCAGGAAAGGCCAAAAATACGTAGATCTACGTAAAAAGATGTCGAGTTTGCAACCCTGGTTCTGGCCCTTTTGAGCCTATCATTTCTTTCGGAATCTTCATTTGTATATATTTCTTCTTCACATACAGTAGGGCTGTATCTTTTATTGCGGTCGCGAACTGTAGCTGCCGCAACCTTCTTGACGCGATGGGAACGAAGATCCTGTTGCACGGCTTCCACCTCTAGTGCATGGGCCAAGGCGTCCTTAAGCGTCTCGTGGTGTCCGACCCTCACAGCTGCTCTGACTCAAGGTCGTGGATACCATCGATGAATGTCTGCACCAGGTTCCCTTCCATGAGCGCAGGTACAGATCGATACGCTTTTCGAACTAGCTTCTCCACCTCGAGGGCCCACTGCTGCAGATTTTCTTTAATACGTTACACGCGATCTTTAAGCTGCGCACGAAAGACGTGTTCCAGGTGGGCGTTGCCATATCTCGCCTCCAATGCCTCAAGGAGCTGCTCATAAGTCACTTCCTCACTGAGAGCTTCCAGAACAGTTTAGGCCTGGTCGCGCGGGCCTAGTGTGAGAGCAGTCATGGCCTGACCTTTATTCCAGTCATTCGCCTTCATAACAGCTTCTTTCAGAACTGGACTTTGTAAGCTGACCAGGAAGAAGTCCCGTCGAACGGCAGCACTTTGAACCCACGTAGCGAAGGTGTTGTAGCGACTACGGGGGCTGTAATTCCATCCCCAAGTTTGAGGTCGTCCAGCGTTCTATTCACGTCAGCCATCACGTTGTCAACCCGATTGTTCACTTGGTCAATTCGGATTTCAGCTTCCTCGATTCGGGTTTCAGCTTCCGACAGGTGGTTGTTATGTTGAGCAACCTTATCCTTCACCTCCCTTATCTCTTTCCTAAAGGTAACGTGAAGGTCCTTCATGAGGAGCATCTGCTCTTCTAACTGACGGGCCTATTCCTCTTGTCCGCCCCGCAGCTGATCTTCCAACCGACGGGTCTGTTCCTCCTGTCCACGCTGCAGCTGCTCTTCTAACCGACGGACCTTTTCCTTCTGTCGGCCAACCTGCTCCCGCAGCATCACCATCAGAGCACCTAAGTCAGGTGCTGCAGACGTAGGAGCTGCTGACGGGCCAGCCTCCGTGGCTGACGGCTGGCCCTCCAACGTTTGCGGCGTTACACCACCAAAACGTCTCTGGTTCGTCTTCTGCTGGCGTTGACTTCGGGTAAGGAAGGCGCTAGTGAGAGAGTTCTAGAAAGATCTTGATACTCATATTCTGCTGCTTAATACCAGATGGCGCTAATAATCACCTGCAATATACCGGGCGCTAAATATAGCGCGCAACAATATTGTCATTCGAGCTGACAAAACACCTGCCGATGAACACACAAGGAGGTTTAATTCACCCACCATTGACGAAGTGGCTGTTGTCATTGTGGGAGAAAATTTAGAATCTAGAGCTATTGTGCTTCGTCGTCAGAATAATGATTTAAAAAGTGTATCTGAAACTTATGATGACGACTTATGATGCGTTACAATATCCTTTGATCTTCTGGCTATATCAAAATTGTAAATCAAGTAACAGGTAACTAGATTGAACAAGATTAAATAATATTTTTGAATACAATTCATCAAAGTAACAAATTAAAAATTTATCATTTTTGATTGCAGGTGCTGAAACCAACAAAAAAGTTAGTGCTATGAATTTCTATTCATACAGACTAACATGACAACGACTTTTTCATCAGTTTGCAGTTGACATGTTCTCAGGATGCTATGTCATATGTTAGGCATTATGGCCGCCTAGACTTATTTGTTACATTCACCTGTAACCCACAATGGTCCGAAATTGACAGACATGACATCACTGCCAGAGTTTTTGAACAAAAATTAAAATCTCCCATGAATTTCATCAAAAAGCATCGCGTATATAGCCAAGTCCGTTGTTGGATGTACTCTGTAGAATGGCGAAAGCGTGATATTGAAAGGGCTCATTAAGACCTAGGTAACTATCATGATCTCATCTTTCGGATGGTGCAATCCGAAGCTGAGTATAGGATCTCAGTGATGGCAATAGATAGGACAATCGTGTTTGAACTCATTTTAAAGAGCTCATAAAAACTTAGATGACTGATGATTTCACCTTCCTTATGGTGGAATTCGGAGATAAGTTTAGGATCTCAGTAACGGCATTACATAGAATCAATCTGTTTGGACTCATTTGAAAGGTCTCATAAAGACCTAGGTAACTGTGATAATCTCTCATTCCTGATGGCAGACTCAATATCTGGGCAAAGGATCTCAACTATGCCACCACATAGAACCATTGTTTTTAGACTCATTTAAATATTAAGGTACATGTGATGATCGCATCTACCTGATGATGGTGGACTCCGAAGGTGAGTATAGGATCTCAGTGACGGCTCTAAATAAGACGATCATGTTTGAACTCATTTGAAAGGGTTAATAAAGGCCTAGGTGACTGTTATGATCTCACCTCCCCGCCATTCCTGCACCTCACCACCATTTTCATTATTTTTAACATGGAGTATAGAGGTAAGAAGGACAATCTCCCATAGGAGAATAGTTGAAAATGTGTCCATCTGTAAGCAGTAAATAACAGTTCAAAAGCTCTCCACAACAGCGCGCATAAATTGCCGTAAAATACGTTGAGAGTGGTTTTGAAAATAAAAATTTTGAAATCAATAAAATAATTATTGTAAAAAGAATTACGGTGAAAGTCTGTGCAATAAAAAATTATAAAAAGTTCTTTAAAATTTAGAGTGTAGCTACAGTGGCGCCACCCTTATTTTGCGCTTTCCTACGGACACTTTTTTATACAGTCTGTACTCCTTACCTCTACACCACTCTACACCTAGCTTGCTACAAATTGCTACATATCTATTTATCTATGCTCTACACTACACTCCATAATTTTTAAATAGGAGTCACGCGATTTTATATGTGTCACTTCTAAACTAAAAATTAAAATTTATTAAAAAGACGGGAAAAAACACAAGAATAAATAAAAACTAAATTAAATATAGGTAGTGCTATTATTTTATAAAAATCAACATATGTGATTATCAAACAAATCAAATACATATATTTTACTAATTCTAGACTTTTGTTTATTTTATCATTTTTATACAATCCTAGCGCGATCGCTCGATGACGTATTCATACGAAGGTCGCGCAGTGGGTTTCGCGTTGAAATATGGATATCGACAGTCGATATTTTTTTCAATATAAAGTTTAATTTTTTTATTTTTTATAGTAAATCATTTAAATTACTACTACCCAATCTACTGTACTTTATTTATATACACTGTATTATGTTTTTAATTTTCCCCAGTTTATTTATTTGCTTCTTATTTTAAAAATGAATGTAATTTTGTATAGTATATCTCTGTGGTATTAAAATTACTATAATCTACGAAACTTAGTGCTACTTTACTTACTGTGAGGTGTGTGTTTTGGTGGGAACTTGACCGTCGACGGACTGTTGCTCCTGTTTTATCGTTTAAATTTATAATGGTTTGAAGCGGACTTTGATACGTAAAGGTGATGCGATTTTGTGTATTAAGTGTCTGCTCATGTGAACTAATAGAAAAAAAACGAAACAAGTGCTTCGATGTTAATATAAACCTTAAGTTATGTTAATCGCTTAGGCATCTTATGAACTTGAGTTACTTTCGTCTTCGACTGTCCGCTATGTAGATTGTAGACAGTTTGCTCCCGTTCTATCAGAAATAGCTGTTAAATATTTGATTTCTTCAGCTACATCGGTAGCATCTGTGCTTCTTAACATATTAAAACAGCTGAACATTTAAAACAACGAGTATTTTTGAAAACTCTTACTGAAAAATATTGGTAAACATAATCGTCTTATTTAAATTAAACAATAATTTAATAAGAAATACAATCAAACATTTTCATACATTTATATTATCTAATTTGCCATAGAATTATTAGGCTTAGAACCGCAGCAGGCACACGCAAAGTGAAGCCGTTTCAAGTTAGCCTTTTAAGGCTAAGTACGACTTTCGGCGCGTCAGTACTCGAGACCACGTAGTCGTGTAAAGAGCTCGCGCAATTTTGAAAAAAAAACGACGTACTGTGCTGTTAACCTTCCTATACCCGCGTTGGTCTGTGAGACCGACAAAATACTCTTTTGCGGTTTTTTCTTTATACATCAATGCTGACATTTTGTACTTTCTGTAAGCTGCCTGATTCGTTGCTACATTCGTTCCAATGTGCACAGTGCGTTCGGGCGAGGAGCACGTGTGGTCGTTTTTTGGCGCCAATTGGTCTGTGGGACCGACGCGGGTATAGGATAAATTTTTTGTGTAAGTAATAACTTCTATTATTCTTATAAAATTCGCTTGTTATTTACAGTTTTTATATCATTATGTTATGGATAAACATTGTTTATTATTTTTTGGTTATATTTTGCGCCAAGATGGACGAAAATCAAATTAGATTGATGTTGGAAGAAGAAAATTCTGATTCTAACTATGAAGATGAAAACGATAGTGAGGTAGAGGATTTTGTTGAAATACAAGAAGATAGCTACAATAGCGAGCAAGAGGATAATTCTGAGCATGAGCAAGAGGGTCAATCTGCAGAGGAGAGCAATTCTCAAGTGGAGTCGGAAGATCATCAAACATATATAAATTATTACCTCGGAAAAGACCGTCACACGAGGGGGAACAAAACTCCTGCGTCAAATCCAGTAAGAAGACGTGCTAGGAACATCGTTACTCAACTTCCAGGTGCTAAAGGTGGAGCTAAGTATTTGAAAGAACCCGGTGAGATATGGAGGTTATTTTTCACGGAGGATGTTATTGGTCGGATGGCAAAGTACACTAACGAACAAATAAAACGAATTTCATCTCAATTCATAAGAGAAAGAGACTGTACTGAAACAAATTAGATAGAACTTGAAGCACTCTTAGGTCTCTTACTCTTTGCTGGTGTTAGAAAAAATTGTCGACTGAATGCTAAAGATTTATTCAAGACTGATGGCTCGTCACCAGAGATATTTCGAATGACCATGTCCTGAAAACGTTTTTATTTACTGTTACGGTGTCTTAGGTTTGACGACAAAGACACACGAGTTGTACGTGCTTCTGTTGATAAACTAGCACCCATCAGAGAGCTTTTTGAAGAAATTGTAGCTGGATTTAAAAAATATTACAGTTACAAAACTAGAAGCATTTAGAGGTCGTTGTAACTTTAGGCAATATATTCCATCGAAGCCCAGTAAATACGGTAATCTACGCCCTGACTGATGCCAAAATGTTTTATACCCAAAATATGGAAGTTTACGTTGGACAACAGCCTGCAGGCGCATATAAACTTGACAAGTCGCATATAGACTTTACCAGTATTCCCTTGATAGATAAACTTGAGTCACAGAAGTTGACCGTGATCGGCATACTTCGCAAAAATAAAAGGGAACTGCCCAAACAGTTTACGGAGATAAGAGGCCGAGAAGAAATATCCAGCTTATTTGGGCACCGAGGCAATTGTACACTTGTATCTTATGTACCCAAAAAGGGCAAGAATGTTTTACTTGTCTAGCATGCATGATGATGCTGAAATTGACGTCGAAACCGGTAAACCTGAATTGATAATGGACTACAATGCGACAAAAGGTGGAGTTGATACTGTGAACAAAATGTGCGAAACCTATAACGTTGCACGAGGCACAAACAGGTGGCCCATGGTAATTTTCTACAGTTTGATGAATGTAACGGGTATAAATTCGTATGTTTTATACCTGCAAAACAATCCCAATAAGAAAGTCAACCGTAGAACTTTTCTGGAAGCTTTGTCCTATGACCTCATAAATTCGCATCTCAGGAGACGGGCGGCCAACACGTCATTGCCAAAAACTCTAAAGTTACGGCTGAATGAAATAGGTAAATTATGATGGTCCTGAGTCTGCAGCAACATCTAATAATAATAAAATCAGCCGTTGTGCATTTTGCACGTCAAAAAAGAACCGTAAGACGCGTTATAACTGCGTAAAATGTAAAATTTATTTTTGTATGGAACACGCGCTTATGGTATGCTCTGACTGCTATAGTGAGACTTCTGCCTAAGAATAGTTGTAAGTTTACTGTTAATTTACTTATTATAATTAAGATTAAAGTTTGTTTTAGTTTATTATAAGAAGAAAAAATATTTTTGTTACATTTTTATTCATCATCATCATTATCATTACAGCCCTTCACAAGTCCACTGCTGAACATAGGTCTCCCCCAAGTAATGCCACAAAGCACGGTCCTGAGCCACCAGCATCCATCGACTTCCTGCATATCTTACCAGGTCGTCACTCCATCTAGTGGGAGTCGCCCTGCACTACGCCTACCGGTACGAGGCTGCCACTTAAGAACCTTTCTTCCCCATCGGTTATCGGTTCTTCGAGCTATATGGCCGGCCCATTGCCACTTCAGCTTACTAATCCGGTGGGCTATGTCGGTCACTCTGGTTTTACTGCGGATATCCTCATTTTTGAGTGTATCACGCAGAGAAACTCCGAGCATAGCCCTCTTCATAGCTCGCTGAGTGACCTTGAGCGTCCTCATACGGCCAGCAGTGAAGGACCACGTCTCAGATCCGTAAGTCATCACTGGCAACACACACTGGTTATTCACTTTAGTCACTTTAGTTACTGTACAAACACTTCAGCACTTCGATATACCGACAGTCAACTTGGCACCGCTGAAGGGACTATAGCACCGCCCAAATATCGACGGAATCAAAGGCTTTTTCATAGTCCACATATGCCAGGCAAAGTGGCAGATTGTACTCTTCGGTCTTCTGTACAATCTGCCGCAGGGTATGTATGTGGTCTATGGTACTGAAGCCTTTTCGGAAACCGGCTTGTTTGGGAGGCTGGAAGTCGTCGAGTCTGCGTGCGAGACGATTCGTAACGACTCTCGAAAACAGCACGTAGACGCGGCTCAGAAGGGAAATCGGTCTGTAGTTCTTCAAGAGAGCGTTGTCGCCTTTCTTAAAGAACAAGACCACCGCGCTTCTACTCCACGCCTCCGGAGTAGTGCCACCATGGAGGACAGAATTGAAGAGCTTCTGAAGGACTTCAAGTACCGGTGTTCCACCCGCTTTCAGAAGCTCCGCTGTGATTCCATCCTCGCCCGGGGCCTTGCCGTTCTTAAGGTGGTGGAGAGCCATTCTAATCTCGCTCAGACTGACGTCCGGGATATCATAGGAATAGTGTCGGATAAGACTTGCTCTTGGATCGTTACTCACACTTGCGTGTGGCTCCAACGATGATGTGTACAGCTGCCCATAGAACCTCTCAATCTCACTCAGAATCTCAGGTGTCCCGGAAACGATGCTGCCACACTCAGTCTTCAGCTTTGACAGTTGACTCTTACTGGCAGACAGATCTCTGGCAAAGACTTTGGAGCCCTGTTTCCGCTCGATCGCTTCTTCAATACGAGCAGTATTAAAGATGAGCAGGTCTCGCCGCATGCATTTGGAGATCTGTCTGTTCAGTTGCCTCTATGCTGTCAAATCTGTTGACGATTGCAGCCTCATCTCCCGTCTAACAGCCATGAGATTAAGAGTGTGATCGGAGAGTTTTTGTGTTCTTCCGCGGCGGGTCTTGCAGAACTTAGCTCCGACCGCATGGACAGTTTCCACGAGCTTGTCATTCATATCGTCCACTGCATTGCAATCCTCTAGGCACTGAAAGCGGTTACGTAACTCGAGCTGAAAGGTTTCGGGATTCTGGATTAGAGCACGAGGGGGGAAGGAGCGTTGACTTCATTAGACGAGACCTCTCCAACTTAACGTTTAGGTTTAGTGTGCCTCTAACCATTCGGTGATCGCTGCCAGTTTTCACCCTTGCGATCACTGAGACATCACTGAACAGTTGGCCTTTGGTCGTCATAATGAAGTCAATCTCATTTTTTGTCGAACCGTCGGGGCTCGCCCAGGTCCGCTTCTGGAAGAAAGAGTTCATCATAAAGAGTCCGTCTTTCTCCATAAAGTGGGCCAGCTTCTGGCCTCTTCAGTTCCGTTGCCCTACTCCAAATTTACCTACCTTCAGCTCACCACTTTCTCTCGTGCCTAGTTTTGCGTTGAAGTCTCCCATCAACACCGTGTAGTGAGTTTTGGAGGAATGTATGGCTCTGGAAATATCCTCATACATTTCCTCCACCTCCTCATCAGAATGTGCCGAGGTTGGTGCGTAAACCTGTATGACCTTCAGCGAATCCCATTTGGTGATTCTGAGTATCAGTCGTCGACACACTCCCAATCTTTACAACGTTGTTGACGAGAGACTTGTGGACGATAAATCCGACTCCTCCTTGGGACAGATGGTCGCCCTCCCGGTGGTAGAACAAGTTGCCGGACTCGAGGATTGCCATGTCCTCCCCCTCTCTTCGGACCTCGGATAATCCAATAATATGCCAGCGCATACCTCTTCTTCCAGCTCCAGTATCTTCTCGTCAGTCCTCAGGATGCGTGCGTTATATGTTGCCAGGTCGAGTCGTCGTAGATGGCAACCGAACCTCCACCGGAGATTCTTAGCACCCCCTGCCCCGCCGTTACCATGGTCGCCACCGTAGCCAGGAATAGCGGGGCCGCCAGGGACTGGTGGCTGTTTTTTTTGCGTCGTTATTCATGGGGGGATATTTGCCATAGTTGCCACGCTTGGCGATCGGGCATTTGGCAACCGCAGTTTTTTATTATATCACAGTTGTTATCAGGAAGATGCTGTTGCCCATCTCCTGCCTGTCTCCCTCTGTCGCCTCTTACGACACCCACGGGAAGATATGGGGTAGTGGATATTCTCAACCACCACTACACGGCACACATTTTTATTAGCTCATATGAAAAACTTATTATTTTCCAGAGACTGTAATAAAAGACTGTTAGTCAGTAAATAAATGATATACTGTCGATAAATTGTTTTTTTTTTAACCTCATACTCCCTAGTTTTAGGAAAACGTAATTTCATTATACGTTTTCTTGAAAAAATACCATGAAATTGGGTTCCGAACTTTCGGTCTATGAGACCGTGCGCGGGTATAGGTGTCACAATATTTGGCGCGGGTATAGAAAGGTTAAAGAGTGTCACAACTCATTACATAATCATGAAAAAAAATTATAAATCTAATTTCACGGGTCAATACCCCCTAGCATCTCATATTTTTATAAAAAACATTCATCAAAACAAAATAATAAATAGTAAATTTGACAGACGCCAATATAAGGCATTAAAAATGTTTGTTTATTAATTTTATATCTCACTAAGTTTTAGACTTTAAATGTTATCATAAACGCTCTAGAAAATAGAAAAATTATCCGATTTCGATGAGTTTTTTTAAATCTTCGTTTTTACGGAAAACATCAAAATAAAAAGAATTAACTATGTATTGTATTCAAAAATAAATCAATAACTTATATTATCCTCAAAAAAATCTTGTACCAAATAAAAAAATTATGCAATCTTTGACTGTGATTGCTATGTCTTAATCTAAATAACGCACATTTAAAAAAATTGAAAAAAAAAGTTTGAAAAAAAAATCACATAATAATGTTTATCTATTAATTTTTTAGCGTAGCGAGCTAGGTACTTTGGGCATCCCGACTCGGACACGCTAGGTTAGGAGATCCTATCGCCATCTCCTTCGTGGTTTATTTTTTATAAATCACTCAGAAGTAGGAGCCCTGTAGGTAGGGCTCCGTCGACCGGGCTTCCCTCGACTGCACTACGTTGAGTGGCGTGATGCTTCCCTCCTCTAACTCTCCATCTAACCTTACCTTTCCGAGTCGGAATGCCTTAAGTCCCGATCCCCAGCTCGCATCGCTCGATCTTACACTCAATAAAAAATTTATAAACATACATTTTTTGTGTAGATTATGAAAAAAAAAATATAACAACTTCATTTG